TGGAAAAGTTCTAATGAATTATCAATGTTGTTTGAATTTAACAGTGCAAGTTTTTGGGTTTTCTTTTTCTAGCTCCTAATTTTCCACGAGATTAATCAATGATTTATATGTTGTAACTGAGTTAGCTTTGGAAATATACTTTTAATACTCTTTATTTTTTGTGCATTTCTTAGAATTGGCTGTGAAAGAGCACTATTTATTGGGACATGAAATCCTGAATTTGTAGTTGTGTTGAGTAATTGATGATAGATAGGACTTATTTAAAAATTTTAAAAAAGAAAGGCACCAAAGTATTAGAAATTTCATTTTTTTCACGCAGTTCGCATATACTTAAATTGTAGAAAGGAGAGACACTTTTTTTTAAAAAATGAATTCTTAATGTTTTGTTGAATCACTTGGTTTTTCAGTTTCTTAATGTTTTCAATTGTTTGTGGCTGTGTTAATGAATCATAAATTTTCATATATTTCGAAATCTGATGATGTTTTGTTTCATCAATAGGCAACCATTTAATCATAGATGATGAAGGGGATGATGAAATGAGAGCTTGGTTTCCTTGCCCTTTTTGTTATGTTGAAATCAGATAGTGAAATTTGTATTTGATAAATGAACAATGTAATCTAGTTTTTATTCCAGCAAGAGGTTTTGCTTAGTATGAATTCTCATACTTGATATCCTTGGATTATATAAGAAAATAATACAATTTAAAAGTTGTATCAATACTGGGCATCCACGACCCCACTCTACGACAACACCTCAATTTGCAACACACGTCCAAACGTTGCCATATGCTGTTTTTGTTGTAGTGAGTATTTTTAAAACTTGTGCAACTTCGAGAGGACAATATTATATTCTTATTGAATATTAATAGATTGAAGTTGTGCTTCTTCGATATCACTAAGATAATCATGTGCTAGAGCCTAGAATATTTATGTAGTATAAAATTATTTTTCTTCAAAAGAAACAACCCAAAGTTCGATCTTTTAACATATTTTTCAAGAAGACAACATGATATATGCACCAGGAATAATAATAAAATTTGTGCTTCTTCATCAAGAAGAACACAAGATTCACGTGAAATTATTGTGTTTATAATTCGTCCTTTATTCAAGAAAAAGTGATAGCTTAATATTCTTTTAGTTCAAGATTTGCACTTTTTCAAGAGCGTTAACAAGAATATTCTTCTAGAACATTTATATAACATGCTTCTTCAAGAGCGACTATAATTATTATTGTTGCTAAACATAAAAAAATATTGTTAGAATTTGGATGTGACATGAATTCTTTGTTGAAGATGATTGGAAATTCTAATTAAAGTGTACATTTATTAAAATCACATTTGAAATGCAATTGTAAAATCATATTCAAGTTTACTTGACGAATTCTAATTGAAATTCTATTTGAAAACCATCGAGAGCAAGAATTCGCTAGCAGTTGTAAATAATACAGCAAAGTCGGCTGCGGCGCCACCTGTTCTGCTCCCTTCGCTGTTTTGATCTCTTTTTTCGTTTTGAACTCCGTTTTTAGCATTCTACTTTATCTACAACTCTACTATAAGAGTTTGACGTCCTTTATTTATTCCACATATATAGTTGGCTCTTCATTATGGATTAGAAGAAATTTAAAATATTGTAAACACATAATCTTTGTATTTTTTTTCCATATTATAATAAAATCTCAATTCTCTATAAAATTACATTGTTCTCGTAATCTTTACTTCATATTGTGACTTAGGGTGTGTTTGGTATCTATTAAAATTTGCATTCTCATTCTTCTACTCATTTTCAACCATACATTCTTCATTAAAATAATATTTTCCATCACATCAATAACTTTTCCTTCTTTTTCAACCACTCATTCTCCATCAATCTACTATTCTAAAATACATTCTTCCAAAATAATATCTATCAAACAGACCCTTAATCTCTTATTTTTTTCACAACAAACTGGTATCATAGTATTTTAGTTTCCACACCAAATGACAAAACACATTTAATTTAATTGCACACCACAATGATTACAATAATAATCTAAAAGTACACGTAAAATATTGACTACAAATTAGTGGAGAGTCCTTGGATTGGCTCCGCATTAAAACTGTTGAACGTGTGGGTGATTTGAGATTACAACAATAAACCTAATATCATTGAAAAGGGAGAATTTCTTTGAACATCACAATTTGACTATGAACAGATGATTATATTACTTGAATTTAATTCATGAAGGCGATGAATGTGCGTTAAAAATTATAGGGACAGAACAAACTAATTTGAATCAAACAATTTAAAGTTTTTAGAACGAGTAAAATTAAATTTTTGAACGCACATAATCTACTCCTCCGCAACATTCTACTACGAACTTATACTTTGTTTCTTGTCACATCAATAAGGAAAAAATAGTAGAAACAAAAAACTCTGTTATGGTACGATGACTTTAGATATATTTGATATGTTAAAGCTAAACTAAACTCATATATCTCCTCTTGGTATGTATGTCTCCTAATTGTAGACATATTTGTTGCCTTGGAGTTTAAATTAGATTAGTTTTGCTATACTTGCATTATGGTCGACAACTTTATTTATCATTGATTTTAACAATAATTATTCAAATCAATGATCTCGATTTTCATACTTTGTACAAAGTAGATTAATTCAAAATAAACTCATGTATTCTATTTTTGACCTTGTTGGATTGCCTACTACTATATCCACAGAGTACACGTACAAGCTGCTAGAAGAGTGTTTGGTGAAGATTAAAATTAGATTTTTAGTAGATTTTGATAGAGCTTTTAAAATGTGTGGTTGAAAGCCGTGGGTTCCATAAAAAATGTGATTAATATTGATTGTTTAACTTTGATTTAGATTAAAATCTGATTTTAATTTGTACCAAACAAACTCACGTTCAAAGTTCCACAGTAGGACACACATGGGCGAATGAAAATGTTTGTCAAATTTTAAAATATTCTCATTAAACCATGTTGAAACATACCCTCCACCAACCATGATTATTGTACACATTGGGAAGCGACCCTGGACCATTCTTTAACCTCTTAACACTTCTGCAACAAAAAGGAAAACACAGACCACAACCTTCGAGCCTTGAACCAATGGCCGCCACCACCATCCCTGTTTTACCCCTCCTCCTCCTCTTTGCCGCCGCCTCGGCCTCCGCCTCAGCTTCACCATACCTGTCCCCCACCACCCTTTTCCAGAACTACAAAAACATGCTAACAAACTTCAAAATTTTCGTTTACAACCCAGCTAAACCATTCACTTTCCAAAACCCAGTTGCATCTCTCTTTTACAATTCGCTCCTCAAAAGCCCCTTTCGCACTCAAGACCCCAATGAAGCTCATCTCTTCTTCGTACCCTTTTCTCTCGACACCTCCACGCGATCTCTTGCGCGTCTCGTCAGGGACCTCAGAGTCAACCATCCTTACTGGAATCGCACACTCGGCGCTGATCATTTCTTCTTATCACCCGCGGGTATTGATTATTCAGCCGACCGGAATGTTCTCGAGCTGAAGAAAAATTCTGTGCAGATTTCTGTTTTCCCTGTTATCTCCGGTAACTTTATCCCGCATAAGGACATCACTTTACCTCCCCTGAACCCATCCGCTAGCGTCATCTCCGCCGCACCGGATAACGCATCAACGACGTCGTTTTTGGGTTACTTCAAATGGGATGGAAAAACGGAGTCAAATTTCGTGGAGGAATTGAAGAAAGATGGTGATTTCTTGGTTGATATAGAAAGAGATTCTTTAGATCAGGTGAGAAATGTCAAAACCAGTAAATTCTGTTTGCTTTTTTACGGCGGCGACGTGGCGTGGATGGTGGAGGCGATGGCTCTGGGCTGTGTGCCGGTGGTGATTGTAGACCGTCCGATTCAGGACTTGCCATTGATGGATGTTTTGAGGTGGTCCGATTTAAGTTTGCTGGTGACGGCACACGGCGGCGCTAAGCGGCTGAAGGAGTTGCTGAACGGTGTAAGAGACGAAAAGTACAGCGGCATGAGAAGAATGGCGTCCGCAGCGAGTAAGCATCTGGTGTGGAATGAGGAGCCTCGGCCGTTGGATGCGTTTCATATGGTGATTTATCAGCTGTGGCTCAGAAGGCATACGATTAGATACGCCCGGAGGGAGTTAGTTTAGACTTTTAGAGGGAGTATTAACATGAATAAATAATTTTGTAATTAACATTCGAGAAAATATGTAAAATTCTATTTCTTTTCCTCATTTCTTTTACTTTTGATTCGATTCTCTTAAAAATTCACTCAACTGAATGAATAAGATGTATCTACAAAATACATCGTCTAAGTCAAAACCGTGTCTGTACAAATTCAAAATGACTAAGAATCTTCCTTGCCCTACAGAGAAGAAAGAAAACAGGGAAGACACAAAACATGTGGGATCCAATTTTTTAAATAATATTTAAATCAAGTGGGACTCACATGTGAGTATTCTGTATAATCTGACACAATTTTTCTGTACATTCAGCTTAATTCAATTACTAAACCTAAAATATATAAATAAACACTGTTCCTAACTACATAGTTTCAATAGCAAGTTACAAATCTCACCCGTAAAACTAACTTTAGGCGAGTGCTCAAGTGGTTATAAGCCCACAATTTACTACTAACATAGCAATGTAAGAAGCAATTAGAGTCTTTAAATCCATACATCTTTGGTGGCCCATGATACCGGCTAAGTGACTCATTGCCACGTCTGCAACACGGATCATTCGAAAAGGGTATTTGCTTAACTGCAACTACAATGGAACTCACTTCAAATGGACCAAGACGGGAGAGTGCTCAAGTGATTGTTATAGGATGCACAAGTGCACAAGATTCTTTTTGCTTCTGTTAAATAGCCAACGTATGATTGTGAATGAGAAACATGGAGAAGCAATCAGATGAGAACCTTAATGATAGGAATCCCAACAATCACAGTAATTGCCGGAGCTGTTGTGTTTCCTTTCTAAGAGATTGAATTTCTTTCATAATCTCAGCCTGATTTTCCAGGATCAATCTCATGACACTTGAAGCTTCCATCTGCACAATAATACCAAAAAATTGGAGGAGAATGGTGAAAAGGACTGAAGAAGAAAAACGCCTGACATATACCTCCTGCATATGGAACTGTCTTAAAATTTCTATGTGAAGGTTTCGCATGTCTTCATGCATAGATTTCTGAAATGAACCAAGACCTTCTTCAAGAGTGTGCTGGAAAAGCTGAAGTGTAAATGAGTTTTCCGGTTTAGAATCCGGATGCAACGTAGTTTCCTGCACTTGCGTCGCTCCACCCTGCACAAGATTACAGGAAATTTAAGAAGAATCGATCAAGAATTAGCAGTCAGGGATTTACAGTGATTCATCATGAAGAACATTTCACCAGCCTGCATCCACAGGTTCACTGCACAATTCCTTCAGCAAAGAAATATGATGAACAAACTAGATGATGTATCATTAAAACGAAATAGTTGTTGCAGATAAAATTAAAAACAGCAAGAATACAGCATCTGATGTTGCATACATTTCGAGCTGGAAGAACGCTACTTCTTGAGCCAGATGACACATTGGATCGTGACAACAAGCTATTCGAAATTTCTTCCCACATTTCTGCTCCTGTTTCATTAGTCTTGGGTGATCCCATTGAAAGATCAGTGAAGGATGTTGTAGCACCTATTCTCTCGGCATAACTGGAAAATCTTCTAGGAAAGGACAAAGGTGGACCAAGAGAATCAAGTTTACGAGGCACTGTTATGCCTGTTGTACCTAGGGAAGAGGAAACATGTTCAGAAGGTGCTAATGAAGTTTCCTGGACACACATTGACCAGGATCAGGCTTGATGTTAGGGGGCTTGTACTCTTACTTGTAGGGTGAGCAATATCTTGTAATCCAGACAACATTGATCCTGACGATAAACTACCCGAAGTCAATGTCGGGAAAGGAGAAGACACGTTAACTGATTGACGGAAGTGCATCAATTTGTCTGATAATCGCTTGCTGCCCCAAGCCTCTGGCGGAGTTATGGAAGAAGAGACGTCACCAAGCGTAGATGCCTGAGTGGATGTCAACTGTGAGAAGGTAGAAGGGATGTCCCCCTGCATGAGATGCAACTATATGAGAATGTGTTGCACAGATGTTCTAAACCACCATTCAGTATTATCGCAACATCGAAGTAGTTAATTATTTTATGCAATCATCAGTTATTCATGACAAAGTATATCCTTGTCTATAACAAGGGACAGAAAAGGACATTAAAGTTCTAGGTTTCTGACACTGCACTTTTGCTAAAGAGTACTATTCAGGCAGCAAGGCTTCTCATGTTTCTAGACTAAAATTTTACAAGCACTTTTTTACATTATTCACATGGGGATGCTCCACATAAGAGCCTCTTTTCAGAAAGCTGATTTAGGTTTCCTAGATTGTCTTTATAGACTTAGTTATACTGAGATCTTACGGAAGGTATTATGCTTTATGCATTTATAAATTACTAGTTTCTAGAATGTATGAACAAAAAGTAAATTATGAATTGCACCTAGTAAAGCATAGAACTAGAAGTTCTAACCCTTTTATTGGAGGAATATAGAATCTCAATATATACATAATCTATATCAAGCAACAAACATAAATTACACAACATCGATGCACTGATTAAAAAAGAGAAATGCTGAAAGAAGTAAGTAGCACACCTGCTTAGTTGTTGAAGAAGATTTCCAGTCAAAAATTAGACGGCTATCATGCCCACCTTCCTCTGAAAGAGTAAAACTCCCAGAAGGGAACGAAGTAGATGAGTTGTAATCAAAATCTTTCTTTGAACCCCTTCTACCATCCCACATCTGATCAAATGAATGAGTATTTGGTTGAACTTCCAATAGTGGAGAAAATATCTCCATGTCATCCTTAAAGTTATATCTACGAGGTGCAAGCAATCTTCCCAGTGATCCACTTGTCAGCGAGCTGCTTCGAAGAGATGTTTCTCCTGCAGCAGATAAACTGAGTGCTTGGTGTAGATGAAGAACTACCAACTGAAAAAGAAAATATACTTGCAGAACCTGAATGACTAGAATTTTGAGATCCAGAAACTGCAGTAGACATTGAAAAGTTTGATGATGCCATTGAAGGAAGTGGGTCAGGCATGAGAATTGAGTCCCCAACATCACCTGCCATAAGAACAGTTTCATCTGTGCGGCTAGTTTCATTGACAGTCACAACTTTGGATCTCTACCAGCATAGACTTGTGATTGCCTGATGAAGATCAAATCATTATTCATACACACCAATGAAGTCGATCAAAAATTCTGTGAAGCAGTTGTAGCCCCTGTTTGGTGCACAATTTTGGAAAAAGAATGCATTTTTACTGTTGATATGATGGGGATTATATGGTTGAAAAAGAAGGAAAAGTTATTGATGTGGTGAAAAAAATTATTTTATTGAAGAATGTGTGGTTAAAAATGAGTAGAAAAATGAGAATGAAAAAAATAATGTGGCTCAAACAGGGCCATAGTAATACCAAGAGAGATGAAAAATGAGCTCAACCTTTGAATGGACCTGATAAACAGAAAAATGGACTGATACACACATCAAAAGAGATTGATCATTTGCAATGCCTACTTAGTGAACAATCTCGCTCGAGCAGACTGATCCCCCAATAAAGAATTATTTATCGAAATGGTGGGTAAGAAATCTCACAGGAGGTTATTTTTCACTAAAGAGATAGGAGAGGAACATATTTTGGTCAATGAGCCATAACAAAGAGAAGAAGAACTCAGATTCCCGGGATGCAGAGCTGAACGAATTGCAAAGTTCTAACATCTATCATTACTTAAGAAAATACTTCCGTTTCAGACACTAAAACAAAAAGGAGATCTCTTGCTGAGTTTGAGAATACCAACAAGTACAAAACAACATTACAACATAAACTAAATGTTTACGTTTCCAATATTAAGATGTCCCTTCATATTAAGCAAAATTCTTAAAAACTAGGAAAGAATAAACTATGATACTGAGAGCAGAAATCACCTCAGAGTTGCCATATGCATGAAGAACCGTAATTGGTTGTGGCTTCCCCCGAACGTCATAAAATGCAACCTGACCAGTGCTGGTACCAGCTGCCAGGGTTAATCCATCATCAGTGAATGCCAGTGAAGAAAATGGTGCTTCATAAGGAATGCAAGAAGACGGCTTCCTAGACCCTGAGTCAAAAGTATATAACTTCATATCCAGACCAACGCTAGCAATAATCTGCCAAAGTTCCATGAGAGTTGTAAGAACAGAAAATGAAACCTGGGATTTGACTTCAGTGAGGAGTTTTATCTATGGATATAAATGAAGGCAATGAATGTACAAAATATTCAAGCCAGTGTATTAAAGAAGAGACCTTGTCATTTGATGGTGAAAAACAAACACCAGAAGTTGGCGCAGAATGCTGCCTCAGCCAAGAAACCTACCAAACGTGAAAGGAAGGTTGCAGCATAGACAGCAAAAAACTTGGACTACTATTTATATTGTCATTGAAGAAAAATGAGTGTAAATAACATCAACACTAATATATATGGTGGATAATATGTTGTCATCTTAATCTTCGGTGAAAACCATTGAAATAAAGAATATATGTAGATGTGCAGAGAAATGTGTTTTCCCGTATCAGTAGAAGAGTTCGATTTAGTTGGGTGAAACCTTTGCCCATGCGATAGGAAAGGTTCAATCCTAAGCATTGTTTTGTAAAGCACTCAAAGCTGAGGCCTTGTCACGAACCTCACGCAAGGTTATCATTGAAAACCTAAAAGGCTTATGCCTTTATTAATTGAGGAGCACATCTCAAGACTCAAGTTATAAGCCAAAGTTTACACCAGTTTGTCTTGTCTTTTAGGCCGCTTTATAGAACTTGTAAGGGTTTCCTCAACTCTATTAAACACAATCAAACCCTAAAACTAGAAGGGAAAAAAAAAGAATTGGACGATTAAGAAGCAAGCATGCCCCAGCATCCTACAATGAAGTGCAATAATAAACCCCTCTACCAAGTGAAGTTGCAACTTTTCAAAGACAAAGGAATGATGGCAATTGACCTATGACGTGTAATTCACTCTTGTCCTTCATTTACATATTTCCTGTTGTCTTGCCTTTTTTTTTTTTTTAACAAGAAAAAAGAATGGGAAGAAACTGATAAGTGTTTTAAAAAGCGTACAGCGTGGAGGTTGAGCTTCGGCCTAGGCAAGCTTAGGCGAAGCCTAGGAGTTAAAAAGTGTACAAAAGGATTTTCTTATTTTAATATTATTTTAAATTTTTAAATCAATCTAAAAAGTATTTAATAATTAAAAGAAAAAAAACGTAAAAAAGCATTGAAAAGTGTAAAAAAGCATGCGATGGGCATGCCTAGGCGAGAAAAAAAAATTTTAAAAATGAAAAAGCGCGAAGCGAGACGTTTTGCTCCCGCTTCGAGCTTAGACGGACGCTTTTTAGAACACAGGCTGATAGTGCAGAGGGAGATGAGAAGGGAATCAAATATGTCATGATTCTTTTAAATATCCTATTAGTAGTGCCGATATGGAAAATACTTGTAGGCTATTTTAGTTGCAGTGGTAGATTATAATTTTCGTTATGTAATTAATAATTTGACAATTTATTATTTCCTGTTATACTGATGCAAGTCAGTCTTTTAATTTTGTTATTTTTTGTCTTATGCATTTCGAAGATGGCTTGCACTTTACTACGTGCATATTTTAGTCTTTTTTACATTTTCTCAATTATTATTGGTTTTTGTCGAGGCTACGCTCGAACATCTTGAGGGTTATGCCTCACATAGTTACCTTGTTGCCAGATTGGGCCTTAAACATTGATGTCAATGCCATTATGTCATCCGATATAACAGCAAAAAAGTTTTCAGCATAATTTATTTAATACAGTTTTTGTCATCTTAATAGTGAATATTATGTAATATATGGTTAACAATTGAACAATTACAAACTTGATCCACTGTTTGCAACCTCATTTTTTTTTTAATGATCAAGGGAAACCCGTTAGCATAAATTTTGTGTCAACCTTTGTATGGTAGTAACAATATCTACCGGCAGCCAGAAATTTTCTCAACACTTTGTTGCAAGCAGAAGAAGAGTAAACTAAACAAAAAGAAAATCCCATATCGCACGAACAAACAGAGAATAGACATTGCTTGAGTTTGTTGACATAACAAACAAGTAGAAACCCTATGTTCTCCTAATTTACAGTCATGGCCACACAATGACAGTCCAGTAAAGTAAAACATAACAAGGGGAGATCTTTTTTTTTTTTTTTCACCAAAACAAACTACTTAGTTACACTACATACCTTTGGATTGCGACCAGTTGTATCCCACAGGTGGATAGACCCATCATCACCAGCCGTAACTAAAAGGTGCCTGCTCATCCCAGAATAATCAAGTGCCCCTAAAACCTGGTCTTGTAATTATAAGACAAAGATCTAGCACGTCAGGGACCAAATGTGCACAACATGGGAGCATGGAACAGAATAACTAACCTGTCCATTAGGATCCCTGAGCTCAGCAGCCTTTATTCCAGAAGCAAGGTTGTGAAGTACAAGATCTCCTTTACGACTAACTGAGGCTATGTGCTCATCTTTGCAGTTGTACATTGCGCCTGTTATTGTATCAGTATGACCTCTCAACCATTTGACACAGCCTTTCTTTTGCAAATCCCATATTAGTACAACTTGACCACTTCCACCGGAGCAAAGATATCGGGATCCTTTGTTACTAAAGCTGATAGAGACTCCTGTGGCTTATGTGTGACAGAAAAAAAAAAAAAAAGATCAGATGTATTTTCAATGGAAAAATAGTTCTCATATCTGAAATGTAAATTTGAGGTAAGCAAATCAATCAAACATGAACTAGAACTCGGTAAAACATCAATTTATCACGTAAGAGGCTCAACGTTACTGCATGTAACTCTAATGTTTAAGTCCGCTTCATTTTGTTTTTAGCAAAAATACCATGTGAACTACATTATACTATGTAAAACTTTGCCTATCAACTCTTGTTTCTCTTTGATGTAATGGGGACAGGTGTTACCTCGTCCATTAATGCATCTCATTTGAACTTGGACTAGAAAAGCTTGAAGCATGTTTGTGTGCAACTTATAAGTGAGCTTATAAGTATGAAAGAGAAAAAAAAGTCTTTCCCACTCAGCTCAATCAAATATGAACTAGGACTCAGCATTCGGTTAAACATCAACTTATCATGTAAGAGGCTCAGCATTAGTGCATGTAAATCCAATGTTTAGTCCACTTCAGTTTGTTTTTGACAAAAATACCAAGTCAACTACATTATTTCCCCCTCAACTCGTTTTTGACAGTCTTACCTGATTCAACCATGCCTCTCATTTGAACTTGGAGTCTTGGACCAGAAAAAGTTGAAAGATTATATGGTTATGTTAACTGCATTTGCTTCCCCTCTCAGGAAACACACAACTTGGCCCTTGAACTTCTTGTAAGTTACAAATAAAGCTAATAGAAATATCTCATATAATATAGGAAATTTTACTTTTACTTTTCCTTTTCCTAAACTAACTAGAAATGGCAATCATGTCAACTGGTAGAACTTAATCAATCCATAAATGACAACACAATTAAATGCAACTCCTGGATTCCCCCGAGATTCTAATTCACTAAATATTATTCTAGACGATAAAATTTACCTCGATAGTTTCGCCAGTATCAGTTTTGACAGGGACAGTGCCCAAGCTGTGTCCATTTTTCCTCCATAAAGATATTTTCTTATCCTCGCCGGCACTCGCCACCACCAAATCTGCACGAGAATCACAAAAGGAAAACAAGTAATAAATTAACAGAACTACAGATTAATTTTAAAACATACGAAGTGGAACAGTACTGACTGTTGTGGTTCCACTTGACGGAGTTTATGCGGAATCCCCGAGAGGGGGCGTAGATGAGAATACAGGGATCTCGGGGCTCCACCGAGATGTCAAATAGCTTCACAGTGTCGCCGCCGCTCGCCGCCAGCAACAACTTGTTTGAGTCCATCTAATTCATATTCCCGATCGCACACAAAGCTAGTGTGTGTCTGTGTGTGATTGGAAGTTGGAGAAATGATTTCTTTATTGAAGCGAAATCTGAGAAGGAAAAAAAACAGTGATTTATTTGGGAATGGAGATAGGAGGATGAAAATGATGATGATTTTTGCTTGCTTTTTTTTGTTTAGGGGTAAAGACGAAAAAATTCAAAAAAAAGATGGCGCATTTAATTTTTGGTAAGAAGAAAAAGTTAGTTATATTATCGTCATAATTTTTATTCGTACATCATATTTTAATTATAATTAAGTTTCTCAAATTTTTTTATTGTAATAACTATTTTTTTAACTTTTTTCGTCGATTTCTTATTTTCAACTTTCATTAATTAGTACATTTCATCCTTGACGATAATTTATATCAAAATATTTTATTTTTATGTTTTGAAAATGTGGAAAAAGTATTTTTTTTCGCACCTTTTTATTTATTTACTTTTAAAAATGAAAAAAATAATTATTTTACATTATTTTAATGGACTTTTGAATATAAAATTGTTATTAAATATAAAATATATTAATCATTGTAAAGCTTGAGGATAAAAACAGCATAAAAAATATTAGGGACATAAGTTCTATTAAAATGTGATTCAAAAAATAAAAAATATGGCGTGAATATAATTAATGAAAAGAAAATCGAGAGAAAAAAAATACGAGAAAGAAAAAAAGGTAAATTGGACCTAAGGTAGTAAAACCTTTGAAGATAACTCCAGAACTTTTATTTCAATCCCAAACTAGTGATGACAATTCGAACTGTTAAAATCAAAAACTGCGGTTAATCGAATCGAATGAGGCGAAAAAAATCAAATCGATGGTGCAGTGAGGTGGTTATGGTTTTGATTTTAATGACCTGGTTCGGGGTGGGGCGGGTAATGTATTTAGCGAAGGTGCCCCGCCCCAAATCGATTATCCATTAAAAAAAATTAATTGAACAATTTTGACAATTGGACTTCCCCAGAATTCTAACCCAATTAAAATTACTAGTAAACCCTTAACTTAGTAACCAAACTCTAACCCTACACATTAAAATTGAAAATTGGAAACCAAACTTACAAAACACTCGTCTGCTCAACCAATGACCCAAATCAGATCCACCGATGCTCTGCTGCCTTTACCTCAACTTCAAATTGTAGTAATCAGCAACGAAGTCTACCATCTTGTGAGCACACTCCCTGAGTTGTCGCGTTCATTAGTTTCGAACCATCTTCCTTTTACAATTAAACAAAATCCAGATACATTATACTTGATTACATTTTCTTTATAATATTATTTAAATATATGATGTGTGGCCTGGAAAATGTAATTTTTAATATGTTTTGCTTGCTAGTTTATGTTTACTTCAGTTTCTCTATGTTCGTAAGAAATAGAGAGTCGAATTATTAATTTGGTTACAGAATTAATGTGGCTTTTTGCCGATGTTATTAATGAAATTTTAGAATTCAACATATATTTTGGGTTATATTGATTGCGAGAGCTTGACAATTTATCGATCTAGGAGGAAATTTTACATTTGGAAGTTGAGATATTGTTTGCATTTTCATTTGGGATATTGTTTGTTAAATTGGCTTAATATTATGTTTTTGTTTTTATTGACTTTTCTTCATAATTTTTTTTTTCAATTTGACGGTTGGAGTTTGAACTTATAAAAAATAATTTATTTTCGTGGTTATTAAACGAACCGAGTCGAACCAAACCGACTTATGTAATTATGGTATGACCAAAAAACTGGTGGTGCGATTATAGTTTTGGCCGAACCGACCTCGAACCGAACTTTACAATCATCTGCGCTCAGAACTTTTATGATAAAAATAGATGATTAAAATGATTATTTTACTCTTAGTTTGAAAAAATAAAAAAATAAAATTAAAAAATGGAACACCCAACTACTACCATCCCCCTCCCAATTGACCATGGTGACTTCTCCATGTTCTTTTTTCCGCCACCATTGGCCGCCGCCCCTATCAGAGCCGGGGCCTGAGACGAATCTCAAAATTTGAGCTCCTAAATCGTAGCAATTAATTAATTTTTATTTTATTTATAAGAGTTTTACAAAATTAAAATTGTTAACTTAAAATCAACAATAATAAAATGAAAAGCAATTCTCTTAATTTAAATGTGAATGTCCTTGAACTCATTTCAACTAAAAACTCCCTCATCTTTTGATTAATATGAAAGTCCTTCAATTTTCACGATCATCAAAATTCAAAGAAAAACAATTCATTTGATTTAAATCTTCATGTTGAACATTATTTTCATTATTCTGCTTTGATTAATTTATATTAATAGATTCAGTCATTTCCTCATTCTCTTTCAGTACATCTATATTATCATTGTCATTTTGATTTAGTTGTTCCTCAATTGTTAAGTTGTTCAGTGTTCCTTCATTCTCTTTTCTTTTCTTGCAATTAAAGTATTTATCTTTATTTCCAGTCTGACTTTGAATTAATGCCTCTACTCATTCTCTTCTGTTTTTGAGCTCCAGGCGCATATTTATGAATCACTCGACAACTAATACTAATTGAAATCTGAGTGTAAAAGGGACTTAAATTAGTTTAAGAAAGAAAGATTAAAAGATATGGCTAAAAATTACATCAATATGTCGCCAATAACCATACTAATTCAAACCCTCAAAACAATAAAATCTTTAGTATAAAATACGGGACACTATAAGCATACAAATTTCAAAGTTAAGCCTTGAACTAATTTTCAAGTGTGGAACAAGGTCATTAACCATAATTAATCAAATTTTAAAATTCAGCAACATTGTGAAATCAGCTAAAAAAAACACCTAAAAGATTAATTAATATGTCTTGTAATTGATGATGATTTTATGTTATTGGAAATATTTTTGTTGAACGTTTGTATTTATTGTTAATCTTGTGTAATAGGTAAATAAATATTTTTACTTCCTCCTAACAAATTTTGAATGTCAGTTTATTAATAAGAAGTTGAGAAATTAAATTCGAAAATGAGCAAGTTATAAACCTTAATTGCAAAAATTTAGTGCATTGCCTTAAGTAATTATATTTTGGCTTTTTTGTTCCTTTGATTTGCCTACGGATGCAAGGGAATTTAAGCATTTTCTTGTTTTTGATGTCTACTAGTTTTTTTTACTGTTGTCATTTCCGAACCCTTAAAATGATTTAAACATTCTACAACTAGAGCCTGTTTGGTAGGGATTTTTGGGGGAAGAATTGATTTTTGAATAGTGATATGATGGGAACTGTGTGGTTGAAAAAGAAGAAAAAATTATTGATGTGATGGAAAATATTATTTTATTGAAGAATGTG